CCCCCGCCACCCCCGCACTCCCCCGCCGACGGACCGGAAAGCAAAAACTGGCCCCCCACGACGCCTCAGACCCCCCTCGACCGGGGCCCGTGAAGCCGATGACACGAACGCGAGGGGCCTTTTTTCCGATGACGTCCGGGAAAGGCCAAGCCGCAGGGAATTTTTTGGTCACAATGCGCGCACCAGGCCCCCCTCGCGACAATTTTGACGTGCAGCCACCGTTCGATGCGCGGATCGAGCAGTCGCGCGGCGGCGTGCGGACCCTGCACGAAAATCCGAAACGGAAGGCCCGAGGGGGGCTCGTGTCCCGTGCGCCTACAAACACGAGAGGTGCCCTGGGCATTGACGATGCGTTTTGCGTTTTTTGATGGGGAGATGCTGCCCGAAGGAAACCTCGCACCGTCACTGTCGTCAACAGCAGTGCCCCGCACAGCTAGAGCGCCATAGCTAGCATAGCCATTCTTCAACGCGCTCGTTTCCTGGCACCGACGCACCCCGCATGCCCTCGCATGTCCCTCCGCCTACCAAGTCGCTGTCCACGTCATATTGGACGTTGCTACCGCTCTCCTTACTTGAAAGGCGCGACCATCACCCCACGCAGCACCCTCGCAAACGCAAAGCACATGCCCAAAAGTTGACAGCGTGCCGTCACGTTTAACGTCGGGGTTCGCGCTCATCTCAACTCGACAGTTTCACACGATGAGTGCGCACGCAGCCGGGACGTATGTTTGCATGTGCACGCGTGTTGGCAGGTTTTGTGATGATATGCTCGCGCAGATCGAAAGAGGTCGTGTCTGCATATGTGTCGGTGGGCGTGTGTGTGTGTGTGTGTTTGTGTGCGAGTGTGTGCTTGCGCGTGCTTCATTGTTTTCGTTTGTGTTCAAATGCGTGTTCCATTGTGTACGTGTTCGTATGAAGTGTGTGCCACACGCGCGAGGCAGGATCGTGCGCGTGTCTGTGCTTGAAGGGCGTATGTGTGTGGGCACCGTGCGGCGGCGTGTGTGTGTGTGTGTGTGTGTGTGTGTGTGTGTGTGTGTGTGTGTGTGTGTGTGTGCCTGTCTGTGCATATTTGTTCGCGTGTGTGTGTGTTCGTGCACATTGAGCGTGGGGAGATACTCGCTAACGTGCGCGGTCAGGGATGAATGACATGGTTTCCACTTCGATTCCCCGAATGACGCTTGTGTGTGGATGTGTGAGGAAAGTATCAAAAACGATT